CTACTGGTCTCCTTAAATGATGTCATAAAAATTCATGGACCTCGCTATACAACATTTTCAAATTTTTACTAAATTTTGTCCACCTAAGATTTCTGAATGTAATAAATTGCATGAAATTATCATTAAAAATGACTTGTTACCATTCAAATAAAGTTAAAATTAAATTGTTACGCATCATCTGCGATAGGCCTCAGAGGGTCCGTAGAGGTCATTTTAACAGGCACTAATTGGATGCGGTTTTAATTAAAGCTCGCAGAAGAATCGTCAACAAAAATAATCGAATATAATCATAAATTAAGGATTTTAAGTTGAAATCCTTTTCCTCTCACGTATCTGATCTTGATAAGATCGCAGTTTTTATAAATTCATCATCGAAGAAATTGGTCTTTCAATACCTTGGATCCACCGTAATACCTAACAATCGAGCGAAGGATGAATTTTCACTCATAACTTGAGGCATCTTCTTTCATTTGGCGAAGCTCTCTAAGATGACCTTGAAGTAAGCCTCAAAATTTCTAAATCTAGTTAATAAATAGAATCTAGTTAATAATAAATAGTTCGCACAATCCTTTTATACGATTGCAACAAGGTTGCCTAATGAGAGTAAAAGATGCCTTAGATAATTTTTACCTAAAGTATATTTTTTACCCGCGAAGTGGACAGGTCTGGTCCCACCTCAAACACCATCTGCATTAAGAATAGCGGCACAAAGTTCAGTGCGCTGGTTTGGCCATGTTCTTCGATGCGCACCACAGGAATTGATGCACGCGCCAGTTGCTGTGATCGATAGTTTCAAGTGAGAAGAACCAATCAAAATGTGAACCAATAGGGTTAGGAGAAATTTAGGTGGACCAGCAATGAATTTAGATAGTGAAAAGAGGAGTGGTTTTAATTTCCAAAAAATGCCATTGGATCGAGATACTTGGAAATGCTTTTTCTTAGTCACCTGTGGAACAAGCAATGTTAGTAGTAGTGAGAGTTACTAGAAGAGAAGAGGAAATAAGATTTCTCTTCCGCTTAAAAGCCTTTAACATAGCACCTTACTAGAAACACTGAATTGAAATTTCACAAATATTTCATGCCAAAATGCCAAAATTTTTTTTTACCCATTAAGACGAAAGAATTTCAGGAAAACGATTTTTATCCAGCTAACTAATTATGGACTAATTATGGATATATGGATTTAGACTATGGAAAAAGGAATGGCTTCTATCACTATCAGCGATAATAATACTATCACTTGGGGATAGAATGGCTCAATGAGTTATTGCTCGAATGGTAACGTGGAGCGCCAATGTTGAAGTTCGATTCCTCGCAGGACTGTATCTGTGCAAAAACCCAGGTGACTCACCTGTATTTCTATCGCCGAAGGATTCCCTGGCATATTGCTTAATGTGACAAGCCAGTAGAGCGAGTTTAACCAGTAATGGTGAGGACTCTTAAAAAAAAAACTATAAGTGATAGCGTTGGACATCGAATAGCTTGGAAATGTCTTACCTTTGAAACCAGTGGAGCCAATCTAACCAGCAATGGATATAGTTATTAGAAGAAAAAGAAAAAGTTATAAATGATAACTTTATGAAATATAGTTTTACTGTATCCTAATTTATTATTAGCTCTGGATTTTCTTAGTTGGATTTTCTAGTAGGAAAATCGAGATAAAAGAATTTTTCTTTTAAATTTAATTTTTAATCTTTTAATTTTTATATTTTATTTTCAAATTTATTTCCTCACATTGTGATTATTTTCCAAAATAAAATAATAATTTATAAATATTTGAAAAACAATTGCAACGCCAACGCGCGAATATTTTCCGCCAACGAATTCCTCACAATTTTAAAAATAACTTAATGAACGATATCAACTTAACTAACAAAATTCAATATTTCGAAATATTTTGCAATATTTTAGCTAAAAAATTTCTTAGCTTTAATAAAAAATTATATTTAAAATATAAAATATAAAAATATAATAAGTATATTGCAATATGTAATATATTATATTAAAAATACACAAAGAAATTCTTGTAAAAATTTTATTTGCATAAACAGCCGAAAAAAGTTATAAATCTAATAAAAAATTATTTAGTTTTTGCCAATAAATAAATTTCTGAATTCTATTAAAATTCTTAAAGAATTATTTTGCAAAAATTTTTGCAATAAATTATAATTATAATTTCTCTAAGTTATTCATATAAACAAAAAATATTAAAAAAATTACATACTTTCAATAAAGAAGAATCATCTTGAAATTATATTCGAACAAATGAAAATTTATAAAAAAAAAAGAATGATATTATCGTGAAAATTTGACGAGGCTCATTTGTTATGGACAATTTTAAGAATTTTCTCTACAAAATCATTCAACTATAAAAATTGAAAAATTTTTTATTGCTTACTTGTATTTAATAAATCTAATTAAAATTGGATTTAGTGTATGGAGCATAAAATCAGAAGTAAAAGAATTTGAAAAATTTAGTATCGAAAGAATTATGCGTTTTCTACGAATCAAATTTTCTTCGAATTCAATTCGTAACTTAAAATGAACAATAAAATGATAAAACTTATGACAACTTATGACATGAGTGATAGTTCAAGAAATATAGTGCATTCTACGGCCAAATCACCATCAACCAAAAAAGTCAACCATCGTTGATCTAACTGATAAAAACTAGAATGGACTGGAATAATATGACATCCAGATTTATCTTTTTTTTTCTGAATTAATTGATAATAAAAATGATGGAAGCTGGTGAAATCATTCGGATTACAAAGTTTGAAACAATTTCGTCCTAAAGAAACCCGAAAATATTTTCAATTGTAGGTCAATCTACTGCACTTCAAAAAATTTATCCTTAGGGAAAAGCAATACATGATTATTATGTATTCAAAATAAACTAGTCCGAAGCGATAACTTCAGCTACAGAGTATTTTAAAAATCTGGTTTATTCTTGAGAATTCTGCCTTTTTGGTGAAAAATGCGAGAAATGTATCGCTAAATATCAGGCATTTTGGTGACAGATGGCTTAATCAGAATCTAAACTGAGACAATTAAGAAAGATTTTAAAAAGCATGGGTGATCGGATGATATGATTGATGGTTAGGCAGTGAAAAAAAGAATGGCATTAATCACCAATGACATCAATTTCAGATATTCTTCGGAATGCCTCACCGTTCGAACCAACCAAACCAGAAAATGTGCACTATTCGATGTTTCTAAAAAACGAATCTCTTATCAAACATAAATTATTAATAATTATAAAATATATCAAAAAATTAAACATCAATTAAAAATTAAAAATTAAACATATTTTTCTTTTCATTTTTCACCAATTTAAATGATTAAGAAAACCGATAAAAATTTATTAAGTTTTAAAGATATATTTGGTTTGATTTTGTCAATGGCATATAATGAATTAAAAATTTACCTAAAACAAAGCCAAAATATAAAATTTTAAAAAATTTTTCGAGTGGAAGAGTTTGAAAATTCCAGAAAATTTGAAAATTTATTAAAATTTAGGAAATATATAACAACAAAAATATATAAATAAAAAAATTTGCAATATTTATTTAAATATATACAAAATAAATAATCACGAATTTTTTAAAAATTCAAAAAAATAAAATATTAAAATCGAAGAAAAATTTTTTTTATCCATTAAATTAAATTTTTTAGGCAAAATAAAAAAAATTTTTTTTTGACAAAAATAGATTTGACAAAAAAATAAATTTAGCAGAAAGTAATTTTATAAAATATTGCCAAAACAAATAAAAATTAACTGAACTTATAAATAATATTTTGCAGATTAAATATAATGAATAATGAAATTGTTGAATTATTATTAAAATGTCAAAATAATTATAAGAAAAATCAAATTAGCTTAAAAAAAATTGACGAGAAGAAAGAAAGAAAAAAGTTGGCAAAAGAAAAGATATTAAATTGAAGAACAACAGGCAGATCGCCGTATTTATTTATTTTCAAAGGCAAAATCACCTTTTCTTTGTTATAAAAATATTTAAAAAAGAGGTTCGGAATAATTCATCTCAACGGATTTTTTCTCGCCTATTTCTCACCTATTTTTTGTGGATATTAATAATTTCCTCAGTTTTTCGCCAGGAAAAATGGTTGGTTGATTCGTACTCTGTTTTTTTTTTGTGCAAAATGTACATAAATACCTGTTTGGTTTTATTAAGGAATGAATTTGATTTTGTAAGCGAAATCGGAGTGATAGTTGTGAACCGAGATTTTTCGTTATTCCTCAGCTCTTTATTGGTAGTTCTCACTGTAGGAGGCCATACCAACCCGCTATTTTAAAAAATGGCGCCTAATATTAGAAAAAGAGGTCTGTAAACGACAAATTTGTCAATAGGCTACGGATTTATTATCAATATTTCACGTATTTTAATTTTATTTTACCGTTGGGAAATCGTTGTTTAAGGTTGGCTAATTTTTTTTCGTTTCTTCAACTTTTATAAAATTTCTTTAATCGCTATTTTTTTTGAATTTTTATTTTTTTTATATATTTTTGAAATGATCGATATAATTTTTCTTTTTTTTTCAATTTCCCAAATAATTGGCCCATTTCTATATTCTATAATCATTTTATAATAAGCATAATGTGCAACTGTTGCACATTTAGCTATTTAATTATCGCGATTTGACCTTTCTTTATTTCTCTTAATTCATTCTTTCCTGTCCATCTCTGATAACTGATTACTGATTTTTTAGTCGAATTAAAGATAAATCAGCTAATCTTTTGCATAAACCTTTTGATAGATAAAATGAGGAACATTTGAACATTTTCAATATTGTTTTCGATAAAATTATCGTTTTTTTAGAAAATTTTTATTTTATATTTTAAAAAAATTTTTCCTCCATTCTAGCTCATCCATTTAATTCTAATCGAGGAATCTTTTCAACATTTCTTAATAACTTCTGATCTTATCGTTTCCGCAGGAAGTAATGTTTATTAATCAACTGATAATATATAACATTTAAAAATGGCTATTATCTCATTACTGAAGGGAAATTTGAAATCTATACTACCAATTTTATTTCTAATAATTTATACAATTATTGGTGCATTTATTTTTATGGTACTCGAAGGACCGAATGAAATCAACGAATTAAAATTATTAATTAACGAACGTGAAAATTTAATAGAGGTAAGTAAATCTAAAATATTGCAGTTTTATGAAATAATGAAATATACTTTTTTTCACTAATAATTGTTCCTTTTTTTAAAGGATTTAATGAATTTATAGGTATTTGTTTTAAATCAATTTTTTTTTACACAATTCACAAATTTTTCTAGCTTTTTTACTTTTTATTTAGCTAATAATTAATAATTATTTAATAATTAAGCTTTACTGATGATTTAGAAAAATAAAATAACAAAGAAGAATTTGATGTTCTCCCAGAAAATGACTTTGATAAGGTAAAATACCTATTAATCTAAATAAATTTTCTAAATCTTATAACTAATAATCAGTTGATAAAATGAAAACCCGAGCTAAGTTTTTTTCGACTTCATTTTCTCTGTATATGATTTCTGTATATGAGAATATATTGAAACAACGATTAGTAATCAGTATTGATCAAACATCTCAAGTGGGACTCATAAGTTATGGAACTTTAGTGGTGCTAATGTGAAAGTTTTTGGTCCAACGACGCATGATTATAAATTTGCAGGATACAGCGTTTAAGCTTTATAAAATCCGCGGTGGAAATCCTTCACGAATTTATAATCGTACGATTAGAGCTCTCAAAATTTTCAGCCAACAACTTGGAGTCACCGAATTGAATATCAATAATACAAAATGGACCTTATTGGGGTCGATTTATTATTCAGTCACAGTATACACAACGATTGGCAAGTTCATCTCTCTAACCCTTTGAATTAAAATAGCGGCTAATTCCCAATTTTAACAATCTGACATTCGTTACAATTTAGAAATATTTCTAACCACTCAAAGTAGCTGAGTGGATGATGGTTCAAATTTCGATAGGGTTTGGCTCAGGCACCCAACAGAAATGAACCTCATTAAAAAATCCATGTTGTGCTGGTGATACCTCTGTACTTGTATTTTTATCACCATACTAAATTCTGGTAAAAATTTCTGATCGTATCAGCATTTAACAAATCTAATTAGAAATGGTATGCAATATGCCACTCACAGATATATTTGAGAATAACTGTGGCTTCTAATCAATTCTCAAATTAAGAACCTTTTTTTTGCGAAGTTCGACTCATTCTTATGCAAAAATTTTTTAATTTACCTAGAATATTATAACGCCCTAGAAGAATATCTTATTCACTAGTTATTGTCCTTATCAAAGCAGTTGGTTTTCTTAGCTTTTAGACTGAAACAGGGTAATTTTAGCATTTTGGACATTTTTATATCTTTAATATATTTGTTATATTATAATATATATTCATTATTATGAATATAATATAATATAATTATTATATATATTATTTTATTATACATATTATACATTTTTATATATTATTTTATACATATTAATGTACATATTATATTACATATTTATAATACATATTCTATTATACATATTTATAAACGCATATATATAATATATATACATATATTATAAATATAATGTATTTATTATATGTATTTTGAATATTGAAATCCATTTTTAGGATATGGCGATATTTATCCGATTACCTGGTCCGGAAGATTAGTGACTATAATTTATGCATTTATCGGTATACCATTGGCTTTGGTATCACTTTATTCACTTGGAAAGCTTTTCGCTGTAATTTGCATATTTTTTTGGAAAGTTTTAGTTCAATCATTAGTGAAAACTTCACGATTTGTTTCGAAAGATATTGAAAAGCAGGTTGGTACACTTTATTATACTATTTTATCGAATTTTGCTTCATCGCAATATTAGCAAAAATCATTTTGATAAATTTTTTAATATTCTATTTTTGAAATGTTTTTGGGTATTTTTGATGAAGTTTGACAAGTTTTTATTATCAGAATCGTTGGCTTTATGCTATTTTTCAGCAAATATTCAACATGAAGAATCCCAGTGCAATTCATTGGATTTTTAAATAATCTAAAAACCAATTAAATACTAAAGTTTTTCAACCAAAGTTTTCTCTTTAATTTGGTTATAACTTATGGATGGTGAAATTTTTTCTAGGTTTATTCATAAGATCATTAAATAACACGATTTAGCCCTTATCACTTATCATATGCATTTGTCTATAGCTTAGGATTTTCATTTTTTCCACTTTTAAGGTAAAAAAGCTCGATGTAGAAGATCAAGAATCAGATAATGTTGATGATGGCGAATATTTGCTGAATTTCCCCATAAGTGTTTTGATTGCCTTAACCATTGCTTGGGTACTATTTTGTGCTTGGGTATTTCTCGCTCTGGAAGGCTGGAATTATGGTAAGTTTTTGATTTTGCCCCACTGAAAGCCCCATAAGCATCTACAAATGTATCTTTGTTTCATACCTTTTTTCATCCAGAAAAAGACAAGCAGAGAAAGCCTTTTTTTCCTGAGATCTAAATCCGTTTTTCGCCACCAAAATTATAAATATAAGAGTTTAGAGTCAGGTATTTTTGCATTACTTGCATGGGATTTTCCTGTTTTCTCATTAGATATTCCATCATTTTCATCACATTTTATATTCTATCTATTCTAGGGACTTCATTATATTTTACTCTAATATCACTCACTACCATTGGATTTGGAGATGTTTTGCCTTCTCAAAGCGAAATATGGGCTACTGGACTTTGTGTTCTCGTTGGTTTATCACTTGTTTCAACCGTATTATCCATGGTTCAGCAGCAAATTGAAGCACTCACCAAGGTAAAAGAATAATGATTTGATAACTTGATAATTCCTTATACAACACAATGATAATACAATATTTCAGGCGATGAATAACAATGTTGACAAAAATTATAAGGAAATATTGAACTCTACATACACTAATCTCGAAAATCAAACGGATCATAAGACTGCGAATGATGAATCAGGTGAGATTTCATGCATACAAGGAGTAAAATTTATAAGAAGCGGTGCAACTTCAGTTCGCTTGGTGAGGATAATTAAAGGTCGAATCTAAACGATTGCCCAAGGCTTAGCTGTACTCCCATTCCCAAATGATTCTGGCAAAAGCCTCTAATTTGGTAGTGAAGCGATATGATATGGCGATCGAATTTTAGATTATCTTTTCTCTATCTTTTTAATTAATAAAAATTTTCAGAATTAACGATTTTAAACCTATTTTTCAACAGAGATAGATGATTGATCCAATTGCGAATATTTCTTTTTTTAGCTCCAAATCAATCTCTTAACAATTTTTTTTTTCAAAACTTCCCGCAATGCTCTCCAATTTAAATAAAATGAATTTAAGATGAATTTATGCGACAAATGGTTGACACAAACGATTTAACCGATCTCATTTCCAAAATGTCAATAAAAAACCAATTTCTTTACAATATAATGCCGTCGAGCAATCGCAAACAAATTGAAACGCGACTTGATGCTCGACGTAAAACTCGTATTAGAAGCATTCAAACTGAGCCTGATTTGCTGAAATCATTCGTAAGTTTAAAAGAGGAAATGTCGATTTGATATTAGCTGATTGATTCTTAGTTCCTAATGAACCATATAGCTATTTCTAAGCTATGCATGGTTAAGTAATTCGAATGGTACTCACATAGGAAAAGGTATTTATCTGGTTATTTACTCAATTCTTTCTTCTATTTTGCTTTAAAATTTCCAAATTCAAAATTCTTTAAAATTTTCAAGAAAATTCTATGGCATAAAATTATAAAATTATATAGAATTGAAGCACCAAATTTTTACTCGTAGATTAAGAATTTGAGCAAGCAAAACAATTTATCCTATTTTAGATTGTCGATCACCTGAACAAACTTGCCATAGGTACGATAACTTTCGATAATGTCAATGATATATGCAATATGATGGTAAGTTCCACAATTTTCCATCTAATCATCATCCACTAATCATCTAATTATCATTATCATTCTTCTAATTGTTTATTATTTTATTATTATCATTATTTCTCTATCAGTAGCATTCATCATTTCTGATTAGGCTTATTCCGCTGGCTATAATTTCGCCAAGCGACAAAGATGCTGATTGCATTTTTAAAAGGCAGATCTTCTGTGGGATACCTCAGTTCAGTGCTCCGGATAATAACCCATCAGCCATTCCATCTCCAATATTATTTCGGGAAAAAGAGCATGCTAAAATTAAAAATGGTAAACAATGAATAGGATTATAGGATTTTTTTTACTTTCCTTAAACATTGATATTGACATAGTTTATTTAATTTCCCTTAGAATGCCTTGGTTCTTGAATATTCGCTATTGTTTAATGATTTTTTTTTACAAAATTTATTAAATCATATTAAATTTTCACCAATTCACCAATTTTCAAATTAATGGTAATTAAGGCTGTTGAATATCCATATGCAAAAGATAAGGTACAAGAAATATTTTCAGATTGAATCAATTCGAGATGATATGTTATGAAAAATCATGCAGAAATCATGTATATTATATGTATATAAAAATTTCCTCCTCTCTCCATCTCCTCATCTCCAATCTTAGATTTAAGCTTAGGCTTAGGGAATTCTTCTGGTAATGTTGCTAGCCAGAAAAGCTTAGGGAATTCTTCTGGGGATGGTGCTGGCCCAGCCTTGCTATATACTCGAAAATTTCTTGAATAAATTTTGAAAAATAAAAATTTTCTGTTTTCTTTGTTGAATAATTTGTATCACGCGATGAGATGATTAATTGTTGACAACATATGGTTTCATTTTCTTGCCCTTTAACAAGAAACCTGTAAACCTGTGATTAAAGGTGAAGTATGGATCGCAGCTGGTGGTCTGCTATATTACTACCTCTATTAACAGTCTTCCTTCGGAAATCTTCCTTAAATCGTTCTTAGTTAGACGAGAGAAATGGTGTTAGAAAAAAAGAGTATCCTCAAATTTCTATGGATATAGTAATATTTGCAAAAATAAAAAATATTGAAATATAATATTAAATGTATAATATAATATTCATGAAATATTTTTTCATATTTTTTATGCCATGAATAACTTTTTTTTACATCAAATTCGCAAAATAACTAAATTCACAATTCAGAATTTTCACAAAAATCACAATTTTTCTCGATATAAATAAAAGAATAAATAAATAAATTTGCTTTTCGAATTTCGAATTTTAATATAAAAATCAAATCAAATTGGTCTAAATTATAGGCAAAACAAGCTCAAATAAGCATCGCTTGACTTTTTTCCTCCTGGATTTCGCCTATCTTCGTTCGTTTACTTCAAAATAAACCGTATATTCTTGCAATTCTTATGGCATCCTCTTCATTTTTATTCCTTTTTCATCTTTTTCTCCTTCTTTCTACTTTTTTTTCTTCCATTTACTTTCCTCTTCATTTTTTTTTGCAATTTTTATCCGCTTTTTTTTCGTTAGTTTTCTTTCAACTTTTTTTTTCATTTCGTTACTGCTAATATTTAATTTTGTATAATTTATGTATGCGTATATTTATAACACAGTTGATTTACTGGTTTCGCATCCGGTTGACCAAACTTCCCAAGTCTTTTCGTTTAAAATAGAGATTTTATCTGCAATAACCACTGGTTTTCGTCTGGCATACACCGATACAAGAAATAACGTAATAACAGCAATTGTCGCTGAAGTAAGCACTATGAATACGTGAGCATGCATATTCAAAAATGCAGAAAAATAGTATAACGTACATGAAGCAAATGCCTAAAATCAACTTTTTTAGAGGTCGATTGAAATCGTTTCACCATAGCTATGCATTTTCCATTCTGATAAAATCCTTATAAAGACAACATAAGCTGGATTTTGTTTCATAGGAATATTTGTGGCCATTTAAGCCACTTGGATTCAGTTTGAATCATTGGTGCACCGATCATTGTAAAACCTTCATTTTTTTAAGAATCTAAAATTGTCACCGGATCCCTAAGGATTCAAATTTGCGACAGAAAAATCTATCAACATTGGGATTTTAGTATCGCCGACTTTGCCATGGGATTTTGATTTAAATAAGAAAAATATATGATGTTGTGAGTGATTCTCAATTGTTTAGCCAAGAAACATAGGGTAGGAATTAGTAAATTCCTTTAACAAACGGTTTTAAATTATTGTATTTAACAATTTCAAATAAAAAAATCAACCTGAAAAAGTTTGGAAATACAAAATCCATAGGCCCTTCTTTTTGGCATTAATGCTGTTATAATACAGCACCTCACTGTATTCCAGCATCCATCACCTATTCCTAATAAAAAACCACAAAAAAGTGCTATATAATAGCTGAAAATTGTTAATATAAACAATTAAATTCAAATTTGAGTTGATTACCTTGGCTAGTTAAGTATTAGGTTAATTCTCTTCTATGCTATAATTATTTATTATATTTTTATATATTTTTGAATATATATTTTTGATAAACTTATATTTATATTTAATTTATTTTGATAAATTTAAATTTTTTTAAATTATCATTTATTAAATTATTATTTCTAATATTTATTTATAATATAATATTAATATTTGATATTAATAATATACTACTATAATTTCAAGTGATTGCATCCATCTTCGCTCAAATACTGTCTTCATTAATTTTATAGAGCGTCGCCTTCGCTGGTTAGGGCACGTTCTTCGTCGCCCACCACAAGATTTGACACATATTTTTCTATTTGTTAACTCCTGTGATAGATGTCAACGTCAAATATGAGAAGAGCAATGGAGACCTGGACTGATACAGCCAGGAAAATTTTGAACGTATAGGTGGGCCAGCAATATATGGACTTAGACGATAGAAAAAGGAATGGCTTCAAGTACTACTAGTGATGGCGTCGGACCGAATAGCTTGGAGAGGTTTTACCCTTGTAGCCAGCCGAGCCAGCCCAACCAGCAATGGTGAGGGCTATTTGAAAAAGAAAAACAATGTTTCTAGATAAAAGTCAAAATTCAAAATGTTCGCTCTTCCTTCAATATTTTATTATATAATATTTTTATTTTATCTCAACAATTAACTTAGATTGGACATCGGAATGAAAAAAATTACAAAAAAAATAACTTTGGTTCGATTAATAATGCAGATTCTTCATTCGGAAATAACGTAGAATTACATGGAATCGATATAAGCACTAATAAAAAACATATTATATTCGTTGTAAAACCAATTAATGCCGTAGGCAATTGACCAAAATCATCAATTTTGGTCGCAAAATATGATGTAATAAAACCAACTGAAAAGCTTCGCTAGAAATTTAATAGAACTAAAGAATTGAAAAATTAAAGAATTAAATATAATTAAATATAACTGTACAACTGTACATAATTCTAGATAGCTGTAAAAGCAAGGAGAAAAAAACTTTAAATTTCAAATTCGCCAATTGAAAGACCCTAGAAAGGTCTTCCTGGTTGCTGATGGGACCAGCCAGAGCCCGAAATGGTACTCGATGAAGAATTTTTCAAATTATATAGGTAATGCTTTAGTCTCAGAATGAATTAGAGCCTTCTAAAATGGATTTTTTTAAACTTACTAATAACTTCTCCAATGGCCAATGAACATGCATATAGCGGTATGAGATTTTTCTCATTATTTAATGAATTAGTAAATAATAAAGACGTTGGAAATGGTCCAAGCCAAAAGCTTGTAAAAATTCCGAGATGAATCCATGAAAATGATAGTAATAAAACTTTTCTATTCAAAAATGATTTCAAAGTATTCGCTAAAATAAAAATTGTTAAAAGAGGCGAAGCAAATTGATCTTAAAAAAAAATATTCAGGAAAATTTGCAAAGAATTTTTTTTTCAAAATTCTATTTTTTTTAAATTTCAAAAAAAATTAAAAATTACCAAATTTATTTATACTTAAATTTTTTTTGGTTGAAAATATATATCATTTTTATCATTTTTATTTTTAATCAAATATATCATTTTTTTAAAAAAAATTTACAAATTGTAGTAACCAATTTACCCAAACATATTAACGCGTCTTTGTAAGTATTACCCATTTGTACCGATTCAATGCAATTCTTTAATTTATGCTTCGGCAGAAATAAAAACATTATATTTGCTAGAACGGATAAGGTTCCAAAACAACCAAATATCCAATGAATTCTGGAATCGGGAAAATCATTTGGCCTCCCATTGTCACCGATAATTATCATAATAAAGGCTCCAACCGCTAAACTGAAATCTTTATCATTGCCGGATTTTAACAAATCATTCTTTTGAAAACAGGATCTTTATGGAGTACATATCATAATCTCCTCCAAATTTCCATTTATCATGGTCTTTTATCACAGTTCTTATCCAAATAGTTTTGATAGTTATGATAATTCCTTCTATCATTTCTGACTCAGAAATTTAAGCTTTTTAAAAATTTTTGTGATAAAAGTATAAATATCGACAATTTTTTAAAAATCTATTCCACTTTTTTCTATAAATTTTTTTAAATCCATCGAAGCGGAAATTTTAAATCTTCTTTTAGGATAAAAATGGCATAAACTTGCAAATCAACAAATTGAATATTTGGATGATCAGTGAAATTTATATAATTTTGTGTGGTACTTTCAACTGCTAATTTTATAAATTTTATATAATTACGGGTCTTCATGGATTATTATTTTTCATTTTTTCTAAAAGCGTCCATCATTTTTAATTTCTAATTTAGAATCGATTTTCTGATTTAGAATCGCTTCACTGGTATCAGAACAAGTGTCAAAATATCTCCAGCAAGTGCCAAAAAGTATAGCTGGGCCAGTCGGATTTTGAAAGCGAAGGTAACTCCTAGAGAACCATCAGCGATTATTAACTATTTTAGAAATGTCATCAATTTTATAAAAAATAAAAAATGATTATAATAATAAAAATTTTATAGTAATAAATGAACTGGATATTTTACCAGCTACTGGCTATTGCCCAAGTCATTGAAGCATTACGTTCAACTGTTTCTTTTGTAGAATGCTCCATCAAATATGGTCCATGGCCAGCATAGTATACTAAATTTGTTTAGTAAAGAACTGCTAGCTAATCTAATTTACTGTGAAAATTTATAAGAGATGAAATAAAAAGGGCTTTTAATTCAGTTTCATAATCCATGGCAACAATTAATCTAACATTTTTACTTTATGATAAATTTGATAATCATTTCTATTCAAAAGTTTATTATATAACTTCCAAGCACTTTAGTCTATCTTTAAGCTAATTATGGATATTTGAATCCATTTCCCATCCAAGTATATTTTCAAGTAAATTTCCAGATTCAAGAATGGTTGCCAATTTATTAACTCATGAAGAATTTTTCCTTAATGACATAAATATTTCAAAATAATAGGAATTTAATAAATGGATGGCGCAAGAGGAGATATTTCACAACATGAAGAACTTAAATTGATTGAATTGATCTTAATTGAGAAAAAAAATGGTCCAACAAAATGCAAATACTTTAACTGAATCAATAAATAGGAAAAAGATCTCTTTCCTGAAAATTTTATTTCTAGGAGCACTCACCATAAGGTTCGTTAGCTTATCAGACTAGAGAAATTTCGTTAGGAAATCGCTTGGCAGTATAAGTTAAGTCACCAGGTGTCACACACGAATTTTGAAAAGATTTACTACGGCTGAATATAAAACCGTAGTATTGATGCTCCGGCGTAAGAGCAAAAATCTACCGCAGTCGCAAAAAATAATTTTAGCAACTTTTTAAATAGATTTATAAAAAGTTACATGCGAATCCGAGTCCAGCTAATGCTGAAGAAAAATAAAAGAAAATTCGATTGATATACAAGAAACTGAATAGATATATCGTGAAGCATATACTTCCTAGGAATAATAACCATTTTCCATTTATATAAAGTACCATAGCTGGTGCAAATATAATTCCAACGGAAAATAATATATAATCCAATGATTGCCTGGAAAATTTAGTTCACGAACTTTTTCAAAATTTTTTATTATTCTTGAATTATTTCCATTTTTTTCATAATTTGGAAGAAAGGCCAGCAGTGCTAAATTTTCTGAATCTTTAGTCTTTTTTTCATTGTTTTTATAAAAATAGATTTTTTTGATAGAAATGAAATGAAATTATAAATTATTAAAACTGCTTATTTATTGAAGCCACCACAACAGTGGAGTTTAAGATACAGTGAAACTTTGAAAAATCATGGATAAAGAAAAATTTTTAGGAATCTTCATGAATTTATTTTTGAGGAATAAAATTATCCAAACATATGCATAATTAAATTGGTTTTGGTTGTCTGCACTAATTATCAGGATAAGCCCCCTTTACCAAAAAATCATTTAGCGATAAAAATGTGGATGAATCTCCAGTGCCACCTCGGTTTTATTAACCATGAAACTCCAAGTTCCAACAACAAATAATTAAAAATTATTTTGAATATTGAACTGGACTCGAAAACTATTTTCTTTATATCAACTCAGAACATAAAAATAACCCATAATATCCAGCATATTTATCAATTCTTGTCGGATCTCTTCCATAAATTGAATGCAAAACAGGTGTAACAAAGAGACAATGAGTATTGAAGCCAGTAAAGATAAACATTGTTGCGAAACCCATTTGCAAAACACAGATGATTTCGAAAAATGAGGATTTATAAAATTTATCCAATATAATCATTGAATCAATCTTAAATTAGCTAATAGATACACAATCGCTTCTAGTCAAAGTTTCTAAGATTCTTTAAAAAGTGATAGTCGAGCGGTATGTTGGTTTCACTTAAGCAACGTTCCTCACCTTAATGGTTGTCATTAAAAATGAAACACCGATAGCCATTTTTGGTTTATTTCTAACTCTGTGAGACTGTAACTCTACTGCTAAGCGGCTTTCTGGAGAAAAAAAATATTTCTTTTCGTCTTGCCAGGCTAAAAATACTTACAAAAATGAAAAGGTGTGGAACCTTTAGGATTCACTTTGACGATAGTAAAATATATGGAAATTCAACTCGTTCTATAAATATAGAAACTTATGGCCACGCAGATCCATGTATTTTATCACTTAATCAGGACAAAAAAATCGCAAGTGGTGAATATTTTTAATAAAAAAAGAACTAAGATAAGTTGTTTGCCTAAATGCTCAATAAAACATTAAATATCTGCAGGCAATTCCTCTTCCTTTTCTATTACTGCTAAATAGCGGTTCTAAGCTTTTCGTCATTAAGACTTGTAATTTCTGGTTAGGGTCGGTTTATTGTTTGACCAGACAACCACATAGCGATAGAATTACAGGTGATCGCCAGACTTTCAGTAGAAACTCAACTTCAACAATGTTTCTTGCGAAACGAGACTGACTGAACAGATTAAACTATTCTATTTATGCTCCAATAAAACAGTAATCCTATATAAGATAATCCTATGTACAGACGAGATGTAATAAAAAGTATTAAATAGGGAGTTCCTCGATGATCCATCAATATTTTACAATCAAACAAAAGCTTTTAATATTTAAACAATTTAAAAGAAAAACCTACTGCCAATTATACAACCGACAAAACTGTTCTGTAAAACTGCAATAGAAATTATTCGACGGGTGGGGGGGAATATTTTTAAAAATTATAATCCTTTACTATAAAACTTGCAATCAGTAGTGGTACACCATTGCTCCCGTTTATGCGTTTGCAACCTATACAAGAGAGCACTGATCAATTAGTTAGTTGATAAATTTTGATTTCGATTTATGTTAATTTTTTTTTTTATCAGCCATCATACTATTCACACTATTAAATTTCTCTGGAATTTTAGTAATTAGTAATAATTTTTATCGACTTTTTAATATTTTTATAAATCATAGTGATCAATCTATTTGGTATCATAGAATTTTTTTCACGGATTTTTCGTAGATTTCTCAATAAAATTTTCAGATCTAAATGAAGAAAAAAAATTAAAAAATTGAAAAAAATTAAATTAAAATTTGAAAAAATTATTTATTTTTTCTAATAGTTAATGAATTCTTGAAAAAAACAATTTGTTAATTTAAAAAAATAAATAAATAATAAATAATTTAATAAGATAAATGAGTGGAAGATTAATAAGTATTCAATCTTCATAGATGTTATAGTGGATAACTTTTTTAAAACGTAAAAATATTCAATAAAAAAATGCAAAAATTGTTGTGGAATTGAAATTAAAATTTAAAAGAATATTTAAATTTATCTTAAAAATTTTATAATGGTATTATATAGCTATAACTTTTTCTGTTTTTGTAAGATTTTGCTGAAAAAAAATTCGATTCTCATAAATTTTGATTTGTCATGAATTATGGAAATATAAAAATTATGTTAAAAAATTATTGAAAATTAAAAATTATAAAAAATTAATCGCAAAATAATTAATCAATTGATTTAATAAATCAATTTAAATATTTGCACAATTTAAATCCAAAAATGATAAATGATTAAATGAATATGACGACATAAATTAAGTCCTAAATGATTTTTAAGCCGATTATTTTATATTATTTTATTACATTATTATTACATTATTGTTATTATTACATAATATTATTATTACATAATTTTACATTATTAAATTATTTTTGAATATTGCAATAAAATGTATTTATGCATAATTTTATTTAAAATTTATATAAAATATAATAAAATTATATTTAAAATAAACCTTTGAAAAATTGAAAAATTGTTATTAATCTAATTTTGCTAACATTTTTGAACCAAAAAATATCCAAATTTCTTTGGATATCTTCTTTGGTTTTTCGCAAAATTGCTGCACATGGCAACCAATTTATTTAATAGCATATTTTGATTTATAATTATTGTTTTTTGCAAAAAAACGATAATAATTTTCGAGTTAATTTTATTTTCAAAAAGTTTTGAATAAAAAAATTATTTGCCGACTTCAATTGAAAAATTATTACTTTCGTAATTAGTAAATTTTTTCGTGGGAAAAAAATTGTTTTCAATTTAATTCTTTTATTTATTGAATTTTTGAAAAAATAAAATCCTTATTTTGCTCCGTTCGATTGTAAGTTTATCACCTGAACATCGCTGTGGACCCATCTATCAATCACTATGCAAGTAGTTTCGCCCTGAAAAGATTTCACCACAGCTACCCGTGCAACCAGTGGAACCTGGAACTCTTAGAAGATGTAATAAAAGAAGGATATTATTCATACAGAATTTATTATTGCCTTTGGCTTATCTCGTTCGGATTTTTCGAAATGGCATTATCGATTTTATTGCTGGGATAGAATTTGTAAGCTTTAAGATTCTCCCATTTCTTTCCATATAGCATAAATTTTTCGCTAGTTTCGCTTTCATCTTTATTATTTCGCTATATTTAATAACTTTGTTTGTGAATGACCTCAAAATTTATCGATTTAACCTTTGACATTGTATAAATACTTGCAATTCACCTCAAGATTTGTCGAACTGATATTTATCATTTCTTTCTTTTAAGAGCGCTTATCATTATTGTTTAGACTTCCTCCTCCGTTTTTGTAGACAAACAAACAAACAAGGAGTCCTTTGGCGATAGAAATGCAGGGGAATCGCCAGAATCCTGGATTTTCTTAGACAGGCTTACTCCAAGAGGGACCAGAAGAAACTCAGCATTGGCGTTTCGAATTGAGAAATATCGAGCTACTCCACTCTCTTTCTGCTTTTTCCTTTATGCGACACTGCCGCCCGACGAAAAGCGTTGCGAACTTAAATCCAATCCACGATTCTCAGTGGCAATTATCTTGCCATTGGGCCAGCAACGTACCACCATTGTATACATTCAATTTGATTTTTGATGCTTTTGAATTGCATCCCCATAATTTTTGTTCAATTTCTTTTTATTTTCATAATTTATATATATTTATAAATTATATATAATATATATAAAAATTATCTATTATAATTTTTTATAAATTTATAAATTATGATTTAAATTTATGGCTCGGTGGGTTGTTGCTCAATTGGGAGCACCGATGTTGAGGTTCAATTCCCCGTAGGAATAAGTCTGTACAAAAATTCGGGTGATACTGACGAGTCACCTGTATTTATATCGCCAAGGGAATCCCTGGCATATTTCCCAATGCGACAAGCCAGTGAAGCGAGTTTAACCAGTAATGGTGATTTTTTTAAAATTTTTTTATAAATTTATAAATCATAATCTAAAATTTTATAATTTCTCATTTCAAAATTTTCAATTTTTTATCAAAAATATTTTTAAATCTTTAAAAAAGATCTCTAAGCAAAGCTAATTTTTTAAATGACAACAGTTGAACAAAAAGTAACGATGTGTTATCAGCGATTTTTGATCCTTTTATCAGCCAGAAAAATCATCTTAATATTTTTTTTTCTTTTCCATTATTGATTTCATTTCTTGAATGTCTAATCTATTTGATGATAAGAAAATCAAATAATTCCAGCGATAATTTTAAATGGTACTCTTATTATAAAATGGTCTATATTCATTGAATTCGTGATAATTATATGGGTTGATTTAAATTTCTTTTTAACGTCATATATCCATTTCCAGTTTTGCTGGTTGCATTAATCGACCATAGTGTTATACTTTTTTAAAGGAGTTACATGAGGATAGAAGTGCGAATAATTCCAAAGTAACTTTGAGAGGATTATTTCCATTCCAAATAATAATTATTTTATGAAATATTTTCAATATTTTATGGATCACTTAAATAATTTCTTATGGAACTCGATTTATATTCTCAATTAATAGCAACGGAATGGTTGAATAGGTTATTGCTTTCATTTTGGTACACCTCTAGTGGAGTAGTGGCAGAAGTGAACCCATCTTTCAAAAATCCCAACCGTGCTAGGAATTCACCTGTACTTTTGGACTCCCTAGAAAAATTCGTATTCTTCGACAAGCCAGTGGAGGGACTAACCAGAAGTGGTGAGTGCTCTTAGAAAAAAAATAACGCAGTTGTCCAATTTATAGAATTGAATGATATGAAAATGCATAACCATTCACCAATTTTTTTTTATTGAATTTTGAATTAATAATTGTTACGACTTTTACAAAAATACCTATAAATCTCGTCTCTAGCTTGTCATAAAACTTATTATTATTTTTTGTGAAAATACAACGCGCTCAAACAGCGTGCAATAAATATATACACATTATTTGCGCAATTTTTCGATAACTATCGATTTCAATTTTTCTGATCCAAAACTATTTTATTTTTAATAATAGATAATAATAACAATAATAATAGTGATAATAATGGCAATAATAATGATAATAGTGATTATAGCCATAATGGCAGTGATAATAAAATGGTTAGCGTCCATCATTTCTGGTTAGGTTCGCTTCGCTGCTTAATACGCCTCTATTTGACTTGGTATAATCTGGTGATAAGAATGCAATAGTACCAAGAGTTCACTCCTATCAGGCGTAGAAGTCAAGCACCTCTCACTACTACAATCTAAGGTGCTTTGTTGCCTTCTGTCCCATCACCTTTCTTCCCGATAATGATGATTTCGACTATAAAAAAGTTATTAAATGAGTTTAAAATCATTTTAATTAATTATTTATATTATCTATCACTTAGAAAATTTCATAGAAATTGTGGTGCAATTGAAGTGCAATTTTCATCGAAAAGAATTTTTTTCACTAAAAAAATAATCAAATTAATGAAATATGAACTCCATAAAATTTTTAAATCGTCTTTTAAATAATTAAATAATTAAATTAGAAGAAGAAATGATTTTTTGAGAAAAATATAAAAAATAAGACGATTTTGATAATAATAATAATAATAATAATATTATTATTATTATTATTATTATTATTATTCATAATATTTACTTTAAAGAATTTTTGAACTAAAATTTGTCCGCAATTAATTTTATCCAAAATTTCAAATTTAACGTTAATTCGATAAAGTAAAAAGGATGATTAAGTTGATTTACAATGTTTTTCGTTGATTTTGACATGAAACATTATTTCTTTTCGTAATTCATTAGGTACTCACTTACTGTTTGTTTGTTTGTTTGATTTAATACGATTATTTTCAGTTTATAAATCGATAAATCCTGAAAACTTGTGGAATATTTCGAAGTATTCATATTATTATTTTTTTTGCTGAAAGATCTCTAAGGAATGGCAAACAATCCAACCGAAGTTGATCTGCCAAACAATGAAAATAATGTTTCGATTTCGAAGATGCTTGAAGCACCGCTTGGTCCATTCTCAGCTGTGGATTTAACTATAGGTTATGATCTATATGATCTTAATTCAATTTGCTATGTTAAAACGGCTTATTGCTGATGGCTTATCAGTTTGAGACGCTGGTGCTGAGGTTTTACTCTCGGCAGAATTAAAATTATATTTCAAAAGACTGGGTGCTCCTGGCAATTCGATCGCCAAGTGTTTCCCTGGCAAAATTTGCCCTATATGGCTAATCGGAGGAGCGAGCCTAATCAAATGAACAGAGATAGTTGGTGCTCATAGAAAAAAAAATTTTTTATAATTTTTGATATTTTGTTTACAATTGTTTAATTATTGTTTAAAATAATAATAATGCTGTTGATAAATTTTTAATATATTTATTTTATATTTGTATTTGTATATAAATATATAAAAAATTTCTGACAAATGAACGATGAGCAAGTAAAATTGACTGACGATTGATGCTTATCACCATTAATGCTTATCACCAAAATTCTTATCATACGAAAAAAAATTATACCATACTTTAGATGGACAATTATTGTGCTTCGATGAGAAGAAAGATCAAATTATTAGTATAAATATAAAAACTGGACAATGGACATCTTTTTCTGTTCCTGAAGGTTTATGTTTCCAGTATTTTTACTGGTCAAATTTAATATCGTTGTCCAGGTTACTCCTCTATTTTTATTTTATTAAAAAAATCTTTTCCCTAAACTGCCATTAAAATCATATGGATAAAAATCCTTATAAGCATGGTCTTTATAAGCATACGAATGAATCGTATTTTACTCTATTTGATGGCAAATATCATGGAATTGAGTCCAATCTTTGGATGGGAGAAAGGCTTTAATTAAAATATGCCCTCATTCCCGGGATTATCTAGTGTTAGAGTCATATGGTAATCACTCACCAATGGAACCAACAAGAAAAGAAATGGTGCATGGTTTTAAAGAAAGATGATGGATTTAGAAACAGCTCATTGAATGCTAAATTCAATTTTTAGAGATATTCTACTCGTTCTTTTAAAAGAGCATAAAACTCGTATATACTATCTCGTAACGATGAAATTAAATTTCGAAAAACCAATGGCCTCAATCATTTCAAAATTCAAAACGACGATAAAACTTACCGGATACTGGGTAAGCATTTCGGTTCTCATTAATTTTAGGATATTATTCAGCTTTCACGAAAATTTATTGACTTCTGTCAAATTATTGGTAATACAAGGAAGCCTCAAGCCAGAAGCCGTTTGGCTTAGTAAACTTATGAGACTGCTTGTTTCAGTTGATTAAGACTATAGCATTTTTAGCATCAATTTTCTCAAATAAATAAATAATTTTTAACGATAATTGAAAGAATTTTTTAAAAATTTTCGAATCTTGAGCGGTTGCATTCTATTTCTATTTCTATTCTGTTATTTTTATTATTTTTACGCTTTTCCTGGATTATTTTAGAATTTTTGTAGATAACGAACTAAGTTTTTTCTTTTCGAAATTTAAAAAATAATAAAATTGAAAAAAAATTTATCATGTCAAAAATCAGGGTGGCTGCTGAGAACCCAACTATAACTCTGTTATTATGTGACTCTATGGTGAGAGGTCAGATATTTTTAATAAGGTGTCTTCCGACACGCATACAACATGGCGGTACATGCGATAAATATAGAATGCGCTCGTAAAACGATCCCAAGGCTGATAAATAAAATGTGCTCGCAATCCAGGGTAGTTATCCAACTCTGTCGGCAGATGACCGAGATAAAGATAAGTTCTATGCGGAAATTTCAACTATTTCAAACTAAGAAATTCGGGGATAGTGTGCGCATTTCAAACCAAATTATTGAAACATCTCAATGGTACAAATAACGATAAATTTTCTAGAATGGCAAATGAATCGCAACTAAAGGAATATCTCCGAAAGTCATGGCATACTAGTAGGAAATGCTCTAATTGGATGTTTTTCCAACTATTTTAAAAGGCTGCCAAAGCACAAATCCTGATGATTCGAAGAATTGCGACAATTCCAGCAACATGGCGAGACAAAAATCACTATTGGAATGACATGGCCATGAAAATGAAGATGGCTGCTCAGTTAGATGATAACAGGAAACTATTCCGCCTTCTTCATTAAACAACTATTACTCAGGGAATTATCAGTAAAATGGTAAGGAACAACAATGATGTGGCCTTTAAAAATATAAAAGATCGCCACATAAGATGGAAGGAATTCTTTGAGGCCAAACTTAATCATGATGCGCCATCTGTTGCGCTTGATATAAGTGATACGTTCGCTGAACCATATGCTTGCAACTGCGAGCCCATGACAGAAGAAAAAATAATATCTGTTATTCATGAGCTTAAGGCCAATAAGACTCCAGGAGAAAATGGTCTCCGGGCTGAAACTCTTCAAATGTTGTCCATCATAACGCACCTTCAACAAATATACTTTCTTGTATAAAAAAAAGAAATATTACTAGCTAACTAGAGCAAAGCAATTCTGCTCCCAATTTTCAAAAAAGATAACAGGACATCAATGAATCAGCTCTACTAGGCGTCTTAGCGAAGATTTTTGCTTCTACCCTTTTACTCAATAGACTTGTGGAAGTAAGTTACAGCAGGATGCCCTCTAATCAAGTTGGATTCAGATCGGGACGTGGTTGTGACCATATATTTACATTAAGAAGGGCGTTGGAACATCGCTTCAAATATTTTCAACTCACTGTCACGTGTTTCATCGAATTTACAGCTACTCTTCGATTCAGCGGCGCTTTGGTGGATGATCTTCCAGAGAACATCATTCGACTCATAAAGGCATTTTAGGTACGTCGGCTCAGGTCTGCGTATATGGGGAATTGATAGAATCCTTCGAAAGAAGAACCAATGTCCGTCAAGGTCCTTTCCCCCAACAATATTCAACTATGCGATAAACTGGATAATGGGTAACCCTTTGCCATTACTCAAGAGTTGTCCAAATCAGTCCAGAGTATTGTATTATTGAATATGCTGATGATGTCCTTTTTTGCTGACAGTGCAAATAATGCTGAACAAAGTTTCAGCAAATGAACAAAGTTTCAGCAAATGTAGCGAGAATCGGTTTCAGGATCAATATAAATAAAATCTTTTCGCCTTATGTGCAAGAAGCGGATAAAATGTCTCTTTTTATAAATTTATCGCCGGTTGAGGAAGTGCCTGATTTTAAATACGCTGGATCCACTTTAATATCGAATGGCCAGGCAAAAGACGAGAACTCGAATCACGCCAGCCAGAAATATATCTTTCTGGTTGACGAAACCTTTATGGAGCCGTCGTGAAATCACCATAAAAACCAAAGAACGAAAGTACGCATCCATATAGTCGTGATTCATTCGATCTTGCTATATGGCTCTGAGATATAAAAGTATTAAGAAGCTATCAGCTACCTTTGACCACTCTTGTCTAAGGTACATTGGGTTTGCCAAGTGGATAAAATCTCACACGGTCCATCTTCTTATCCATCTTCATTCAAATACCAGTGTCATCACCTTCGCTGGTCAGAACAAGATTTTTACCCACCTCAAAAGTAGACATATTTCGTTGCTTGCTAAACCCTGTGTTGGGTGGCGTCAGAAGGATGTATAATCAAGATCTGGGCTGATACGGTTAAAAAAATTTCCGAATGGATAGATGGACCAGCAATATATGGACTTAGACGATGGAAAAAAGAATGGCTTCTATTACTGTCGACGATGGCATCATACTGAGCCGCTTGGAAAGCCATTAGAGCCAGCCTAACCAATAGTTGAAGGAATTAGCGAATAGTAAAGAATATAAAAAAAAGAAAGCATTTGAAAAATATAAAGTATATTTCAGGTCAGCGTTCAGAAAAAAAATAACGAATTATATTTCGGCTTTTGTGGGAAAAAATTATTTGAGAAAAGGAAGAGAAAAGAAGTTTCTGACATGGAAATTTTTTTGAAACAATTCGCTGCTCGAAGCGGCTATTCCAGCAAACCAGGTATCATTAACAGTAGAAAGCAAAATTATAATAGGGAAAACCGTATGTTGCGCTAATTAATTGGCTAAGGGCAGCCTTGAGAGAATTGAAAAAAGCGATTCAGTTATCACCTTTGGTTTTAGCGATAGTCCAATTCTCGTGATATTTTACCTAACTTATTAAAATTGGATTTGCCCAGCTTTTTATAATTATAATTTACCATTTAATATTATAATTTACCATTCCTTTCCAAAGGCTGTAATTAATTTTATTTAAGAATCAATCAATCAAGGAGAACTTTATTTTTATCTATTAAAAAGTCGAATTTTTTTCAGTAACAAGTAAAAGAATCTTAAAAAATAATGAAATTGAGGAAATTTTCGAAAAATTGGAAAAAAGTTATGAAATAGAAGCAGTGATTTTGCAAGTCAATTGTGACGATCCAGGAAAAATTAAGGTTAAAAAGATTTTTGAAAAAAAGTTCTTGGATTTAAAGTAAAATTTCATGGAAATATTTTTTTTAAAGAGGAAATATATAATTATTTTTCTAAGAATGTTCGATTAGACTTTCTGGTTAGACTTACTCATTTGGTTTGTCTAAATGGGTAAATCTTGCTAGAAAACCACTTGGCAATAGAATGAGAGATGGATCGTCAGCAGACTTGTCCAGGCTTCTGGAAGGCAGGTTTACGACTAGATTACCTCGTCAATATTGGACTTTTGCAGCTAATAAGAGTAAATCTGCCATTAAATCCGAGTAACGTTGAGACAGTGGCGAATTTGCATTATTCTGAAGCCATTAAAGCCAAATGTCTTAACGGAATCGGTCAGTACTAGTTGAGTTTAACTAAACAGTGTAATTAATTATTATAGATGATTTGATATTCATTAATGCGATTTTAGTCCAACATTTTATCCTTAGGACGAGCTCAATGCTTTTCCGTTAGCGATGCTTTTCTACCAGAAATGGATTCAATTAATGCATTGCTTCATTTCGCAACAACTTTACCTACAAAGACAAAGTTATTTTTCCACTTTTAATGAACTAAATTTAAATCTTTAATTTCTTATTAAGAAATTAAAAATTAAATTTCTAATTAAAAATAAAATTAAAAATTTCCAATTTAAAATTTCCATAGTTTTTGCTTCGGAAAAATCACCTATTTTCTCCGTAACAAAAAGGATTAGTAAAAATTAATTCTTTGATGATACCTTTTTTTAAGGATAACTTCTTTATCAGTTTGCAACCCGTTTTATGCTAATGGATTCCTTTATTTTATTGATCGGATGAATCCGAAACAAGCATTTGTTTTTAAAACATTTCCGGATCCAGAACGAGGACTTATTGCTTCTTTTCAAACAAGGTGGCTTAATTTTGATTAAGTGATCAGAAATCACCATTTCTGGTTAGCTTTACTACAATAAGAATCTAGGAATTCACTATAGAATCACCAGTGAGTCCACAATAGAGCGTGCTTATATTTCTTACTTTCGTTAGTGGTAAAGTCAGAACTTTGATTTTAGAGGCCATAATCTAAGGTGATAACAATCACTACGCCACGTTTGCTCATTTTAATCGGGTTTCATTTCCTGTTTCTTTGAAAATTTTAAGCGGTTGAAATTTTAACGGATGTCTTTTCGCAATGCTTTTAAAAGCAATTTTGCATTATTAAACATTTTGGTTTTTTTCCAATTTACGTTCATTTCAATATCAACTTATCCCTTTTATTAGATTTAAAATACGATGGACATTCCAGAATCGCTAGGTCCGGAATTTTTACAAAATGCTTAGTGAAACAAGCAACGATTGATTGTTCATCCGGTATGCCATTTGTTGGTGACGAAGTTGTATGGAGTAATGTTCAAACGTTCAACAACAATGCATTTTTTCTTATACAAGTGAGGATAGTCGAAAGCATTTTTAACATTTCGATTCAAAATTTTACTTGAAAAAAAATGAGCTATTTTAAGGATCTAAAAATTAATACTTGTGTGCTGTGGCGTATTCAACTAGATTCAACAATTACAGAAGAAAATTCGAAAGATTACGAAGTATTGACCTTTTATTTGTTAAAATTATCATTTATCTTTTAAATGAATATTAAGGATGGAATGATAAAGAAATGATAAAGAAAAAAAAGCAGAATTTAATATGCTATGAAAAGTTTAGTTTAAATTCAAATTTTAGCTAAAAATAGAAGAAAGAAATAGAACTTATTTTTGTAAAAGAAACCCACAGTGATGAAAAATTAAGGTGAATGAAATCCACATTGATAAAGGTGAACCAAATGATAAACGCCGACATTGTACAATTATTCATATCAGTGATTCCGACACAGTTAGTAAGTTTTTTTATTTTTTTTGCAAACTTCAAAATATTATTTTAGAACTCATTTGATAGAAGTGCGTCTCCGGCACTTCGAATAAGAAATATAGATGGATTCTTAGCGTATAATCGCTTTATCTTATTAATTACTATAATATTTAATTTTTGAGGCTATAGCAAATATCCTCATAAAAATAAAAATACTTCAAAATCCGAATTCTCAAATTCTCTAAAATGGCAAAAAATTCAAGAATTTAATGTTTCAATGTTCAAATTATTCGACAATAGTGCATTACATTTTGATACAAAAGAGAATTACGCATTTGTTAAAGGCATTAAAACTGATTATAATGGTAAATCAATTGGCCATTGTTTCATTGCCTTTCTTGTTCAGTATAAATTCGAAAATGAAATTCCTTCAATCGCTTAGGAAGAAAATCTTAGAAAAAAAATTAGAAAGAAATTCATTTTCTTCATTGATGTGATTTGATAAATAAAAATTATTATGATTTTGATCCTAATTTATGATTTTTTGTAAGAAATGAAATGATATATATGTAATTTATATGGGTTTTATTCTGTGAATATTATTATTATTATAAAATTTGAATAAAAATTTGCTAAATGAGTTGCGAAAGTAGCAGAAGATAAACAAATTTATCCAATAGACTGCGACATATTGTAAAAACAAAAAGAACAAAGAAAACTATAAAAAATGATGATATATATGCAATTTATAAGAAACAAGGAGAAATCAATTCTTTAAAATAATAAAGAGATAAAACTCGCATGTAGGAACCATGGAAAAGAAAGGTACTTTACCACTTCTTCATCTATTTCTTGTGTCCTTTAAATTTTTTTCTATTTGCGGATTAAGCTATGGGCTTTGCTCGAAGAGGTTTCCAGTGAGATTTGTTTTCTTATGAGAAAAAACCATTTATTTGCCAAAGTTTTAATCTATTAGTGGTAAATTTGCACGCTTGAAATCACATCTTGCAGACATTATAAAAAGTGCTGAGAAATTTTATCGATTCAAATTGTTCAAAAATTCTTAAGGGAAAACTTCCAATATTAATAACTCTCAAATCTCCATATTCTCGATAATTATAAACCAATTTTCTAATAATTTATTTATAAGCTGAAACGGTTAATATTAAGTAACCAAAAATTTCTATACTTTAATAAAATAATAAAGTTTTCAAGTTAAGTTTGTTTACATATTTTGATTTTTGCCTGGCTTAATCGATAATTAAACTAAGCCAACTTCACCAGGGGAAGGGGAGGGGGGGGGGGGGGGGGGGGGGAGGGTAAAAATTCAGATAGATGTTCAGCATTCTTATGATACATTCCACTTTAATGATACGTTTTTCACTATGGAAAAAGAGCGAGATCTGTGATGCTCGCTTAATTCCTAAAATATTCAGCCAAAGGCGAATTTCATGGATAGCGAGAAAATTTATTCTCGTTGTGAACTAGTCGAAATATTTGGGAATTCGTTCTCATAAAAAGGATTTTCTTGTCGTAATCGTGTTTTTTTGAAAACTTTATTTAATTTATTATAAATTATTATACTAGGGGAGATAAAATTATTTATATGTAAGCTATTTCTAAACTTGTTCAGGCTTTTATGCTTTTCCTTCCCTTTAAGTCATATTCAGAAAAGAATTTTTAGAAATCCTTTTTTTTCTCAATAAATATAAGTGAAAATGAAAATGCCCAGCGCTTAGGTTATATGCGCACCGCTAATCACTCGTATGGTCAAAAATTTTTGCCAGAAAATCATTTGGCGACCAATGAAAATCTTCCGCTGGTTCCAATACCAGTCGGATTTTTTTATGATAATAGATTTAAATTTTGTCGAAAATAGGAGCGGATCTTTGTCTCTAAACACAACAATCTGAGTCATTATCCACTTTTATTCTTTGTCAAATTCTACGAAAAAAATACTTTTGGCAATTTACTTAATGTTCATGTTTATTTAAGACAGTAAGTATGTATATTGTATGATTAATTAATTGAAGTACATTTATTTATTTCTGCAATTTTGATAATTGAAATATTTGTTTAGAAATCCATCAAACTGGATTGGCTCACTGGATCACTGAAAGGATCACCGAAATCGCTTTTAGTTGTTGTTGAAGCCAGCCAAACCAGCAATAATGCGACTTAAGGAAAGAGAAAATCGAATTCGGTGCAAGAAAGATTATTATAAAAAAATAAAATTAGCCAAGCATAGCTTAGCTCAAATCGTCTCGAGTCTTACGCTCAGTTCACGTCTCACCAGAAAATATATCATAATTATCTATTTGGCAGAAGAGTAATAGTTTTATTTCACCTCCAAGTGAAAAAATACTTTATAAAAATTTCTCGATCAATCTATTTAACCATCCATTTTCACAAATAAAATTGGTAAAATTTTAAGTTGTAAATATTTTGAGAATAGCTATTTTCCTTATTTTAGTGGGCTGTAATGATGTTGTTTTTTCACATGAATCATTTTTTTATTGCCCAGTTTGAATCATTTCATAAACCGGATAGATATAATTCTTGCTTTACATTAATGACATTCCTTTGGTAAATATTTCCGTTCATTTTATTTTATTAGTTTTTTGAAGATGCACAGTTTGCTTATTATTATCTTTGCTTATTATTATTATTATTATTATTATTATTATTATTATTATTATTATTAATCTTTTGCTTTTTTATAATATTTTATCATAAAGAAATACGGATGAATGAAGGCGCTTTAAATTTCAAGTTGCATTCTTAGAATTCATAATAGTTGATAGATTAAATCCAATTTAAATCCGAAATAAGTGAAATAAATATGATTAGAAGAAGGAAGAAAAAGTGAAGAAAAATCATGAAAATAAAATATTTTGAATTAAATATTTAAATAAATAATTAAATATTTGAATTAAATATTTGAAATTATATTATTTAAATAATATTTTAAATTAATGACTAAATTAATAAATTTATTAAATTAATGACTAAATTAATGGAAATTTGAAATGAAATGCTTATGAAATTCTTGAAGAATTTCCTTCTTTATGAAACATTTAGTTATGGCAAAAGATAGATAGTTTCGCTAGCACAGACCATCTTTGGCTATTGCTATATTAACTATTGCCATTAACCATTCTCATCGTTTTGCCACAGAAAGAATGGAGTTTTTCGTCTAGATTTAATCACTTAAATTTAAATTTCATTTTTAATGCTAGATTTACAAAGGAGACTAATCGAACATTCCAGGTTAGGCTCGCTTCGCTGGTTTGTCGAATTTTGCCAAGGAGTCGCTTGTTGATAGAAATATGGCATGAGTCAAGCAATATTGCCTGAATTTTTGAAAGATTCCCCTACTTTTTCTCTCCCTCATCTCTCCCTCTATTTACAGTGGTACCCGAGCATCCGAGATGAAAGCAACAACCTACTAATTTATTCTATTCTCCTTTATATTTGCCTTTAATTGAAGCAATATTCGATTAAATAGTGCTTTAATCCTTTAATTAATAGCTGTTAATTTCGATTTCGCGTAGACTATTCAACTTCATTCCTCAAGGCTCATATTATTATATTGATATAATTTTTCCTTTTAATATTTCAGAAAGAATATATAAGCAATTATATAAGCGATATAAGCGATATATATATAAGCGATTTAGGCAAATTATCTTAGAAGCCAAGTTTGGCCTCTGGCAGCAGTAATTAATTACTGCTTATCCTATTTACTACTGCAATTTCAATCAACATTTGTCATCTAGTCTTCGTTATTATTGACATATTATAGAACGATTAAACTTAATGTACTTCAGCGAATCGCCATTATTTTGCTTATTATTTTATACTCGCTTAATATTTATTTATTTATTTAATACTGTAAATGATTTCATAAAAAAATTACTGTAATTTTCTTGCATTCAGGTTCTATGATTTCCTTAGCACCATACACCATTTTTCTTGCTGCTCGAGCACTTACTAGAGCACCTATTATTTCTCCTCATTAAAGCTATCTAATGAAGTAAAGATCGGTCCATAGACGCTATCCGAATTTCACTTCTCTCTTCTTCTTCACCATTACTGATTTGGCTGACTCCGCTCGGCTACAAAGATGAATTATGAAATTTTCATTTTTATATTTAAGATAGGTTTGCTTACATAAAAACTGGAAAATAGGAGAGCCTATTGCCACCAACGTCGTATACTCAACTACTTCGCCATTTATGTTGTAATTCGACTTCTATAAAAAATTTTTTGAGTGATTTTCTTCAATAAAACATTTTAAATACAATGTTTCATTAACTTTTTTCACTTAATATTGGTTTTTAAAAAAAAAAAAACTCGAATTTTTTCGGATATTTAAAAGTATATAAATGAAAAAATAACAAATATAAATTATGTCATTTGCAATAAATTTGAATGGTGTTCGAGTCATTTGATTTGACTATTTTTATTTGAAATATTTTTTTTTCCGAAATTTATCGAAAATATTTTCCGTTTTTTTCCTTTTTCTCATCTAAAACTATGGACATTTTTGAATAACTAAGATGTATGTCTTTTGCGTTCCAATCTTTTATCATAAAAAAAATATTGTTTCCATTTAAACGTTTCATTTATAAATCCATAGTTCATGCTTTTTTTCTTTTGTTGCCATTTTTCATGATTTTATTTGATCAAACAGTTTTTTCGTTTAATCGATTTAGCCTCAAACTTCTTCTTCGTCTAGTAAGTCGCACATTTATAAGTTTACTTCGTTTCAATAGTGAATAATAGAATAATAGAATAGAAATGTTTCCATTCCTTTCAAATTCGTTGCTATGCATCGAACTTCAGAATCGAAAATTTTTTATTAAAATTTATATATTTGAAGAAAATTCAAAGAACTAAAATAATTTCCAAAATAATTTGCTAAAATTTGCGTTTCAATTTATTGTTTTTTAATTTTTTATTTATTAATTGTTCGTTTACTATTAATTAATTAATTATTTATTTATTATTATAATTTTTTTTAAGTTTAAATTAAATTTTATGCATTAAAAATTAATTTTTTTTCGAAATTTCGTATTATTAATTGTTTCTCATCGATCTTTTCCATTTTATTTAAATCGGATTGATTATTATCCATAATTCGACAAACAGCGTTATTAGTTGTTATTATTATTGCTATTATTATTACTATTATTATTATTATTAATCATTATTAATTATTTTTAATATTGTATTATTTTTAATATTATCGTTATTTTATTATTATTATTAATATTATAATATTATCATTTTTATTATAATAATGTTTTGCACGGAAAATTAATCGAAATTTTTATTTATGCCTTTTTATTAAATAATAATTTCTAAATATTGGCGGATGTTTTTATGAATAGCAAAATAGCAAAGAAAAGATATTTTGTTTGAATAACTTCGAAATTC